CCTCCTGACAACCTTGAACTTCCATTCCAGAATCTTCCCTGCTCATGCCATCCATTACAATATATTTCTGTCTTTTCTCCTTGTAGACGTTTACAAGATATAGTCAATGTCTTTGACTTTGGGAGGGGATGTAATGTTTTTAGACATCCATATTCTTTTGAACTACTTACCTATTACATGGAAATTGATGGCTGGACAATAGAAATTGATTTTCTACTCTCTTTTTATTGCTATTTAGAGATCTTTCCAATATCACAAAGATAAACCTATGGCCTCAGTTATTCAGTGGATTGAAGACCTTCCAACTTATGAACAATTTGGTTTGAGGCATAGATTAAGTATGGACAAATACAATAAAATGATTGATTGATTGATTGATTGATTGATTGATTGATTGGGTACCATCAAGTCGATGTCTTCTCTTAGCAACCACATAGATAGACTTTCTCCAGAATGATTTTTCCCCAGACTGGCTCTCCCAATGCTGCCCTCATTGCCACTATAATCGAGTCCATCCACCTTGCTGTCGGTCATCCTCTTCTCTTTCCTTCCACCTTTCTCAGCATTATAGACTTGTTAAAGGAGCTGAGTCTTCACATAATATGTTCAAAATATGATCATTTGAGCCTGGCCGTTTATGCTTTGAGTGAGAACTTGGATTATTTGTTCTGTGATCCATTTGTTTTCTTAGCTATCCATGGTGTTCCCAGAAGTCTTTTCTACCACCAAAGTCCAAAAGTTCTTTCCTGCTTCTTCAGATACAACTTTTGGTTCCATAGAGTGTCACAGGGAACATAATTACCTACATGACTCTGTTCTTTGTAGGCATAGAGAAATCATGGCATCTGAATATCTTTCCCAAGGCCTTCATGGCTACTCACCCAAGTGCTAATCTGCGACATATTTCTTAACGGTTGGTTCCTTTACTGTTGATAAGGTTAGACAGAAGCTATCTACCACTGAGATATCTTCATTATCAATTCTAAGGCTGCTTGCTGTACCTATCATTAGTTTGGTCTTCTTTATATTTAATTTTAGTCCCATTTTTTTCACTGTGCTCCTTAAGCTTGCAGATCCTTTGCATTTTCAGCTATCTGAGGAAGGTCATCGGCATAAAGCAATTTATTGTTTCTTGACACTTTTATGTAAAATTTATATATAGAAGTATCAAAAGCTGTTATGTATATTTTAGTGTTGTATAATTGTTTTGTTCTCATTGTTCTTTTTCTTTTTTCATTTCTTTCTATTTTTATTTTTTTTTTCTTTGTTTAATTAAGTAAAGCAAACAAAATGAACAAGGGGAATACTGAAGAGGGCTTGTACTGCAATTACTGTATGATTATGACTATTTCTGCGTTATATTTATTTTTGTTGGCAGTATTATACGTTATTTATTTATTCATTCATTTCGATATATTACATTTAAAACCTGGAATGCATCCAGTTCAGAATGGTTTCCATAAATCTTCCATCTAGGAAGAAGTCTGGGGCAAATCTGAAATGAATTTAGCCTCTGAAATCTTCTTTTGGGAATGTTGGTATCAGATGTTCTCTCGATTTCTCAGTGCTTGGATATCTACACCTGATAATAGTTGAGAGCTGACATTTAACTTTGTTTGATAGTTAACAAATAATATTTAGCAGGATTTGATAGGCAACATACAGTAGCAGAACCTGACAGACAATATGTGAGGATATTTAGCTTCTGACAATTTATTTCATGTTTGATAGTTGCTAAAATCAAAACAATCTGGAGAGGTACTTGTGTTTCAGATGTCAAGGTGAAAGGAATTTACATTCAGAGAGAGAGATGTGTTTGGATCCAAATGTTGGCTAATTTTGAAAACATGTAAATATGCTTTTCAGTGGCTTCTATGAAGGACACAGCTTTTCAAACTTTGTGATAGTAAGCTTCCACAAACATAATGGTCGGGAGCCAAAAGAAGGAGCAAGGCCGGGGAAGAGAATCTGGACCATGATGCGAAGAAACTAATTAGCAACTGTACTCCTGACAAACTGGAGAACGTGTAGCAGAAACTCTTGGCCTAGTCAAGAGGCGTACCGGGGATCGCAAGGCATGGGAGTCATTTGGACTTCTTATAACAGCGGCTGGACTATGGTCCTCAATCCCATTGTTGGGCTCCAGAAGACTTTTGGACCATGATGCTGAATGTTGATTTTCTGCTGTTTTGAGTCAAGAAACATGGGACTAGTAAAGAAGCCTAAACAAGGCATACAAACAAGCAAGGAAAAGCTACGATTGCCCCCAAATTGGGAAAGGGGATAAAATGAGAAGTCCTAGCTCTGCCCCCATGTGTGGTCAAGCCCCACTGCTGTGTGCCTTCACTCTCCCCTCTGTACTCTTCGTTGTGTCCCCCACCTCAATCCATCCTCAGAGTTGGTGGGAACCTCTGCTCACCAACCTCGCAGGATCCGTTTTATGAACTCTTTGGAGCAACCGACACATTTTCTGAATGAATGAATTCATGCAGTCCGTTATATAACACTTTTTTCCCCAAGTGGAAGATCTGTCGATCCTGGTATCAGCTCTCATAAATGCTGGACATGGGCCACATTCTTAGAACCCCACCCCAAAAGCACAAGATCCTTTCATGTAAAATATTTTACTTTACAGTCTCTTTGCTCCCTGTCTCTTGCGATATTCCTGAGAGTTACCGAGTAACTGAAGGATGCAATCTTTGAATATGGGCATATAAACAGTAGGAGATGCTTATGCAGATGCCACTAATTTAATTTAATTCGCTATATAAGCAGAGAAAGGGCAATTTTCCACTAACTCACTTGCCTTTATTCTACAGTCACCTTCAGTGTCCTACGTCAATTACTGAAAACGCTTCTGATCTTCTCTTTGACTTCCACTGGAGAACGCAACCTCTGGAGGAGAGGAACCTGCAAAACAGCTTGTGGCAAAAGAAGAAAATGGTGCTGAAATCATTTTAAAAGGTAAGGGAAAGGGAAGTTTGCCTCCTGTTGAAATGGTTGGGCAAGAGTTGTTGATGAGGTGAGGAACAATCCGCCCTCAGAGTTGGTGGGAACTTCTGCACGTCATAGCCCACCCATCCTTTTGGAAGGGGGGAGTCGCTGTGGTCACCAACCATCAAGTCAAGGATTTCTCCAGCAGTGTTCATCATTTCTAGGGGACAGTTAAGATGGGCTGCCCACTTGAGTCTGCATTGCGCTTTGCCCATTCCTGTCTCCAGAACTGGGAGATTGTAATTGGAAGGAATGACCTGATCATACAACTGTAGATTTTGTACCCGTCCTTAAGCGCAAGATTGAAGCCACAAGCGTGCTGTTCTCATTAGGAATATGAACTGCCCTGTACCTCTGAGTAAATATTAACAAATAGCAGCGACAAAGGCCACTTTACTTTGATTGTCCAGTTCGAACCTGTTTCTAAACTGATGGAGTTGATGGCAACTAAGTTTTGCAAAAACCATCATAAATACAACCGAGCACATTTTGGCCTCTCCTTAGAGCAGTGTTTCTCAACCTCAGCCACTTTAAGCTGGGTGGACTTCAACTCCCAGAATGCCCCAGCCAGCCTAGCTTAAAGTCCACCCAGCTTAAAG